GCAGTCATGGTTTGAGCTGAGGCCAGACAGAAAGAGCAGCTGCTCTAATTTCCATTTATTCTCCACTGTGTCAATCCAATAGTTGTTTCACAGCAGAGTGCATTGATTACATTTCTGTGATGGGTGGCTAACTGAAACGTGCTCGTGGCCCAAATGGCGTTGGAAGCGGCTGATAAAACGTAGCTGTTTGGTCCAATCAGAGGTAGTCACGGTGTCGGCTCGTAGATTTCACTGGAACGTTTTCATCTGATGTGATTTTCTCGCAGGTGAAAAACACTCAGATTGCATTAACTGGGGAAAGAGCTCAGATTTTAGAAGCCAAGTGTTCTGCTTCAGACATGTCTGATGGTTAATCACCATCCAGAAGGGGTTTTCCAGGAGGACATGATTGCAACTCTTAAATTGGAGTTGAAGTCTTCGTGTCTTGTGATGAAGTTAGCTTGCAGACAAAAACCCATTGTTTAGTGTCCAATGTGTCGTTCTTGTCACCCTTCTTTATTTCTACAACAAAACAGCATAAAGCTAGAATGATTCACGGATCAACATTCTTTTTATTTCACATTTCTCTCTTGTAAGTCTACTGTTGGCGAATAAACTATAATATTAAATCCAAATATGTTGCAGCCATATGAGAGCGTGTGCAAGAGTCTCAACCCTGTTGATAATCAGCATCAGTGAATTCCTAATGAATGGTCCAAATCGCTGCAGTCATTTCTCTAATACACCTCACAAGATTGTTTAGTTTAGATATCAGCGTCCAACATGTAAACGTCCTAACTGCTCCTTCTGCCGCGGGTTTGTTGCCACGCCAACAAGAATGTAGCTGCAATAAGGGAACTGTGACAAACATCTGTTGTGAGATGGAGTTCTCATACCCCCCCCCCCCCCCCCCCCCCGCCCTTCTTTTTCTTTTTCTGTGTCTCCTTCTGTCTGCTCCATCTGTGTACCCAGCATGCACTGGCTGGAGCTGCGGCGCACACTCTCTGCCGTTGCCATTTAGCCAGTGCTGACTGACTGATCCTAGCAGAGATGGGATTTAAGAGGTGCTGCGACATGAACTAGGTCGCGGAGCGTGAGCGTGTTCCTGACGGTTGGTTTGTGATTGGACGCAGACACCACAAGGTGGGGTAGTGGAATTAGTCATGAGTCCCAGGATTGTAGGGTTTGTGGCTCAGATATGTTGGCACTTTTAGTAAGTAAGTAACAAAACCAGTAACATTTATACTGTTTGATATCACTGAGCCTGTAGATGTGCTCACATTTAACAGGTCCAACAACAACGCTTAATTTGTGCCTGAGGTCTTTTGTATTACATCTGTATCGTGTTTATCTGTAACTTTCCCCTCCACACTCTGGCATCCAGCTTTGGTATGAAGTCATTGGAGTTGTGTCTTAGTTCGGCTCTCCCCCTTTCCCTCAAAACCACTCTCCCCACCTCTGGACCAGCTCCAGACTCATCATCACACACCCCAATGTTCCTTACAGGCTCCGTGGAAGAGAACGAACCAGCACAGACAGAAATATTATCAACTTCTTCTTTCTTTTCCCCTTGTTGGATGCATTTCTAGATTTAGCTCAGCAGTTGCTCAAAGTTACAACAACCTGTGGTTTTCTCAGATCAGCAAGGAGACTGGATGAAGGGTGGTTCCGATACACCAAAACAGACAGGAAACACGGGTTGGGACCCGTGTGTAACATCTGTCATAGAAGAAAATAAAACTGCAGAATTTGCACCCCACGGCTGTTTATTTGTACAAGCACAGCGGAAAGAAGGTCTTTGACTTCCGACTAACTCGAGACGCATGATTATCATTTAGATAAGCAATAGCTTCAGCATTATCAGCTTGTGTTTACAGTTCATTTACTCCAGCTGGAGATGCTTTCAGGACCAAATATCCTTACTGGAATCACAGATCATCCAATGTGCATTGGTGTCCGTCTGAAAGCATCATTCATTGCAGCTGTATTGGTATTGTAATCTCATTTTCTGCTAGTGCCTCCTGTCTCACACTCATGCATAAGTCAGTGTTTAAAATGCAAATCATGTCTTTGCCATGTGACCTGTCACACCATGGGAGACAGTTGTTTTTATTTCGGTTGAGGGACAGTTTTCACTTGTAGTTGGCGTGTGATTTCTTATTCATGTATGCATGCCGGACCAAGTCCAAGGCTTTCGCGAGGGATTACATGTGTGACTGAAAAGGGACATAAATGAAGCGGTGCAGCTGTTTCAGGCTTTTGCATGTCAGAAGATGAGCAGGAGCAGGTTCAAAAGCCTGCAGAGCAAACGAGCAGCTCTGCAAGGTGTGTGGTAAATTTTTAAATCAGCTCATTATTATTAACTTTTATGATTTTTGTAAAGATTATGGAGTAAAAATTCACACGTGTTTATGCTACAGCTGACATTTTTATGTGGCATCATAACTGCAAAATTATAACTTATCAAATAGAGGGGGAAGTTAATTTAGAATTTTTTTATAATACACTCAGAAAAATAGTTATCTCTAAAATCCATTAGCAGAACGTGATGATTCTGTATATTTTAGCTCTTTAATATGTTTCAGCAGTCAAGCTTTATTCAGTTCAAAGCCTTTTTAAGCTTCTGCTGGGGCGGTATTATAGTTGCTCTTAAAAAAAACCTCCAGCTTAATTCCTAAACCCTTCTGTTACAGTGAATCTGGTGTTGTGTGCACAGTCTTGAATGTGTGTCAAATGGAGAAACATTTGAAAATCAAACATTGCTGAGTGAGTTGGAGACAAACAGAACTGTGAGATTAATTTTCCTGTCAGGATTAGATCAACAAAACCCACAGAACACACCTCTGGCCTCGTCTTTATGTGTGAGGATGACTCCATGGAGGTGTGTGATCCACTCAGCTGTACCGAGGGTCCCTGGGGAAACGGGCTAGATGAGGTAATGAGAGAAGAGGAGACATGGCCTTGACATGAATGTAAATGTATCAGACATGAGGAGACATATTCTCCATACTTTAAAGTAACAGAGGAATTTCCTGCTCCTCTTCCCTACTGGTCGAAAATTGAGTTACAACAGTCGTAAACAACCCTGCTGTAGCTAGTGCTAACAATAAGCTAATACTTACATGAGCCAACAAACACTAAAGTAAACCACAAAGTAAGACACTGTTGAACAAAACTTATTACTTACTAGTCCAGTAGCAACAAAGCCAGGTCATCATCAGTCTGTGATTTTGTAACCTCCTTTAGCTCCCTCAAACTAGTGTAGGCTGCACTGATTCCGGTTTTAGCTCTTTTCTTCGCCTCCAAAGACTTTACTTTCTCACTTTTACTTCCAGGCTCCGCCATAATGCCAACAGAAAAAGCAAACTTCTTCTTTTTCTTCTTCTTGTGCTTTATATTGATGATCGGAGAACTGAGAATGCTAACTGCTACTATTGCAGCTAACAGCCGTAAAGCCATATAAATGAAGACGTAGACTTCCCATTGGGTGATGGAGAGCGTAAAAGCATTGCTGTCATATTAGGTGGGTCTCCTCACTCCCCAAACCCAACTGGAGTCAACAAGGTCCATTTTTGGTACAGCCTACGGTTGCAACAACTGGTATACTATTGATAACAGAGATCACATGGGACTTATCTGGGACTTATAGCCTATATGTTGGGATTTTATAGTTACATTTTTTAATGTAATTATATTTATATTATAACTATCATGCCATGTCTGATTTTTTCTAACCCAACAATCACCTTTAAGTTTAAGAAAATATCTATTGTTACTTAAAGAAGCCATCTTTTTTTTTTATCTCAGGCCGTTTAGTTTTTAGTAAAAACAGATAAAATTCCAACATGCCATAACATAAAAAGTGATTTTCATTGAGGAATAATGTTTTTTAACAGTTTTGATAGCAACATTTTGTAAAAAGCTGTTGTTGAAGCACCCTATCATCCATCTATCTATCTATCTATCTATCTATCTATCTATCTATCTATCTATCTATCTATCTATCTATCTATCTATCTATCTATCTATCTATCTATCTATCTATCTATCTATCTATCTGTCTGTCTGTCTGTCTGTCTGTCTGTCTGTCTGTCTGTCTGTCTGTCTGTCTGTCTGTCTGTCCGTCCGTCCGTCCGTCCGTCCGTCCGTCCGTCCGTCCGTCCGTCCGTCCGTCCGTCCGTCCGTTCGTCCGTCGTTTGTTGCCAACTCACAAAGGGTTTTGAAAAGCAAAAGGGCCTTAGATAAAATACTGTTGCAACAAAAAGACCCTATCTCCCTCTGCAAACATATGCAGATTTGCACGCGCACACACACACACACACACACACACACACACGTTCAACCCCCCCAGTGTTACATTTTTGCAACAAAGGAGCAAATCCAGATTACAGAGCCTCTCTAAGTGAGGGAGGTCAGAGTAGGTTGTTGAAAAGAAGGGGAAGATGGTGCATTTTTACAAACAGAAAAAAAAATCACTCGGTTTGATTATACATGAGTGTAAGGGGTGAGATAAAACAATCTTTCTAATGCGGCATTCTATGTTTTTTATCTTTAAGAGAACAAGCTGTAAACAAGGTGGCTGATCCATGCAGTAGTGGGTAAACATGAAACAATCTGTGTTTGGTGTTCTGCAATTTCCATACTTTGTAATTTCTGATGGCCCACAGCTAATATACAAACAGCAGGTCTGAGTAATCCCAAATCAAGGAGAGCGAGGCGGTAACACCGAGCACCACAGAGCCATCAAGGACATTTCAGTGTGAGTTGGGCAACAGTTGCGTGACGGCTCTGCTGCAAGCATGGGGTCTGTGGGGATTAGTGTCCAATCAGAGTGGATTTGATGTGTAGTGACGGCACATAGGACTAAGCTATGAGGGCTAAATTTCATTTGTTTTCAATGATGCTGCACTTGCATGGCCTCCCCTCTATGTGACGTGAATCTGACAGATTTGAAACCTGTTGACGACAGCACTTCAGCCACAGCATCAGGTAGGTGTATACAAGGGAGGGGGCAAAAATATTGGAGGAGGAAACTGAATTATTTGGCGACATCATCATCATCACCAGATTTGCTATCTGGTTCACGTGACATCACAGAGGGATGGGGAATTAAATGGGTTTTATTTAGATGTAATCCCTTATAGCAATCGGCAGACTGGGTAAAATGTCCTCGTGAAGGGAGAGATAAACCGTGCTGGATTAGTTCAAGCCCCTGCCCAACCCAGCCTATCCTCCTTTTTTTTCTTTTTCCACCAACGAATATTTGGTGGCTATCTGCTGTGGAATAACTCCTTTTCCTCAGCTGTGTTTGTGCAGTTTGGTGAGATGTGGATGTGTTTTTTGTGTGGTATTTTTTTTCAGCTCACACAACAAAGCAACATGGCCAGAGATTAATTATTCAAGGACGGACAGCTAAGGGGGGAGTCACCTGATAGTGTGGACTTACTACAATCCAGTTTCAGGTGAAATGGAACACTTCTTCCTTGTTGTTCTTTGATGCTGTACAGGAAGACTTGAGCTTCTAAGTGCACTTTTTTTCTCCAACGCTTCTTTTTTGTAGCTTTTTTTTTAAAGTTGCCAATGCTTGTCCCTAACAAACAGTTGGGCCTTGGACGCTCCCATAGTTGGGACACATTAGGAGGGAATGAGGGTCAGTGGGAGAGGCAGTGTGACAGCGTGTACGAGCAGCAAGCGAGAGTAACAGGCCGACGAAACTCCCTGTCATACGGGGAGGGGGCAGGGTGGTACGAGGCTCCAACAGGGGTGCGTCCTCCTGACCTGGATTTGAAACGCGCTTCATATTCTTACCAAGACACACCCTACGGGCAGGTTTATGCTGAGCGACACGATCCACGGGGGCTGAGGAAGAGCTCTGTGCCGGACTTAAACCACTACGAACGTGCACCCATGGCTCACCGAGGATCCGTACCACACCAGGATTACTATCCTCACGACCCAGCCATGACTCCACGACCTCCTGAGGGTCTCTACCGGGCAGAGCATCAGTCTCCTCTACCTCACCCTCATCCACTTAGCAGGTCAGGTTCACATTTTGGGATTTCACCTGGAGCTCGAACATCATGGGATCAGGGTCAGCCTGGCAGGACAGGACCCCAAGGTCCTTCATCACCACTACCGCCTGCCCCAACAGCTCATGAATTGAATCGAGCTTATAGAGAACCTGTTGTCAAGTTGATGCAAGATGGGCAGCAGCACTTACCTTCAAGGGATCCACCTCCCGTTCACTATAGTATGGAGCAAGTTTCGCCTCGATATGCCAGTGAACCTCTACCGTCGACTGGTCAACCAGTCTATACAGGTGTTGATGGCCGCCCTCTGGATTCACAGCAACAGGTTGCTACCTGTCTTGTTGTAGATCCTGCGAGTCAAGGTATGGCAATGAGGCAAGATGCAACTTCTCCTTACACCATCCAACAGCAGCAGCAATTACAACATCAGCAACTGCAACAGCAGCAGCTCCACCAGCAACAATTACAGCAGCAACACTTACAGCAACAACAACTACAGCAACAGCAAATGCAGCAGCAACTACAACAGCAACCAATTCAACAGCAGCAGCTTCAGCAAGAGCAGTTGCAGCAGCATCTGCAACAGCCACCTCTACCTCCACCTGCCATACCGGTGTCTGACCCAAATCTTGCTATGACCACTCCACTTCCAGCTCCACCTATTCCAGTGCAGACCGCACCGGTTGTCCCAGTTGCACCTGCTCCTGTTCAGGCTGCACCTACTCCAGCCCCTCCTCCTCCAGCTACTCCACTTCCTGCTCCGCCGTCTGCTCCTCCCCCAGTGGCCCCACAGACACCGTTGCCCGTAGACCCCAAGAGGTCAGTGGATCCAGAATTCCTTTCTTTGCTGCGCAATGAAGGCCTAACAGAGAGCACCATCTCCTCGCTCATCCAGCAAGGATTTGACTCCACTAGTATGCTAGCTGTTATGGAGGATAATGATGTCCGCACTGTTGCTCCCAATCTTGGCCAGGCTCGTGTGCTGTCTCGCCTGCTCCATGGCTTCAAGCGGCCCATTGACACAACTCCAGCCCTCTCCCGGCCTCAGACACCCATGCGAGGTCGTTCTAGTAGCTTTAGCCATCGCTCAGACATCTATCAGCAACAGCACCACCATTCATCACACCCTTCGCAGGCAATGGCCATGGATCCTCAGATCATGCTACCACAGATGCCTGCAGCCATGCAAACCATCTCTCCAAGAATGGGAGAAATAATAAGTAGGAGGCCCAGCAGCGCCCCTTCTCAAAACATCCTGGAAGCCTCCGCAAGCTACCCAGGCCAACCACCTCGATCCCCCGGACCATACGCTGGGGCCATTATTCCTGTCCATACAAGACCGATGTCAGCTTACTCAGCAGCAGTGACAATGTCTGGGATGCCTATGCATGGCATGCAGATCATGCCACAACAAATGACTGGATCAATGCCTGCTATTCCAGGATCTATTAACTCCATGCCAGGAATGCCACAACAGATGCCCATATCCATGCCAGCTTTGCAGCAGCCACCTCAGCAAGTTCCAAAAGCATACTCCACCAATTATACAGTACCCATGGAGCTGATGAAGAGGGATAGAAGTATATTGCCATTGTCGCCAATGCACAGCCCCCACCCAAGCCCTCAGCTGATCCGTAAAGGAGGGGGACCTACATCAGACAATGCTCTCATCCCGGCAGGAACAACTGTACAAGGCCATGGTGCCTTGGTTGCTAACCAGAAGCTGAGTCGACGCACAGGTCCACCTGTCATCGTGTCCACGATGGCATCTCCAGACACAAGTAAATCCTTATCATTTCCAGTCTTCCATGTTGTTTATTAGACTTGAGCTTTCTTTTATTTTTGGCTTAGTGATTTAGTAGCTTGAGAAGTTAATTTATGCTACAGTTCTCTTTTGATCAATACCCACAACCATTTGACAAATCTCTTGTTGCTTATAGAGTTGTACAATCGCTGCATTAAGCACCGCATTAAGGTTTCACTATTTGGTTTATATTTTAAGGAGTCATTCAATACATTGAAAACATCCTTATTAGTTTTGTTGCGGTGGTTTGTTTAAATCTATACTCACTCTTCAACTTGATGAATAAATTCTACACCACTCAGCCCTGTAAGTAATTAGTGTAGCATTTTGCTTTCGGATCAAGATAACGTGCAATCTATCTGGCCGAGTTTGGTTACTGACAACAGATGGGTCCAAGTCAAGCTAAATGCAATGACTGAAAGTTTTGTGGACATTTTTAATTATTTTGTAAAGTTGTGCCATTTGTTTACTGTCAACTGGTGTGTGGTGCAAAAATCTTAATCTCTTTTCTCAAACTGTCTTCCAGATTTGAATGAACGCAGTTTAAAGATAACTATTGCTTTAAACTGCCTCACAATCCTTCCTATGTCCTACTTTCAGTATTTTCTGCATTTGTCGATCCTTCAAATCACATCACGCCTTCTTGTCTCCTTATCGCTGCGAGAGGCAGATTTGTCAGAAATTTTTTTCATACTTTCCATGAAGTCCTTTATAATTTTAGTGATCTCATGCTGGTCTTTTATCGGAATGAGAAACCAGCTCATTAAATGTAGCACAAAGTGGCATTGATAGGGCACAGTATGGAGGATTTGGGTGGTGCAGCTGTCAGCATCTTTTCTGGTACGTTTCAGATTTTAACAACTGTGCTCAGTTCGTGTTACAGTCTGTCAGTCGCTTCATTCACGTGTGAACAGCTCGCATTAAGATTCCTCCGACTAGAAACGTCAGATATGTGCAGAGGTGTTAACTGTGTGGGAACTGGGGTTGTGCGTGTTGAAACGGTTGTTGGGGATCACGCTTGCCTCCCTCTTTGTTTTTATTTTGATTCGTGCAAACATTTTCTGAATGCATGCCTATGCAACTCATGCTTTTGGTACGTAGTTTGATCATTATCCAAAATGGAATCAAACTGGTTCCTGCACTGTTGGCATCATTAGTCTTTTGAAGCCCATCAGCTGTGATATCATCATTTCTGCAGCTGCTTTTAATAGTCTTAACTGCTCTCTTTTGGATTCACATATCAGGTTGCAGCTTTTGCACAAAATTTGTTCTGTTCTGTCCTGTGATCTAATAAAAATAGTTTTTAGACACGTTGGGAAGTAAGAACAGATATCCCCATTAACACCAGCTCACTAGAGGGAGACTATCACCACCACCAGACAGATAAAATCGAATTACCTTTCTGATGGTTGACACGTGATTGTGTCATTTTTGTTTTGTGCAGGTTGCATTGAGAAAAAGGCCTAGCAGAGTTTTAATCCTTCAGATCCTCATTTCCCTTGCTGCACTAATCCATCAGATTCTGCTCTGACCAGTCAGATTTAAACACACTTGAAATGTTCAACACAATTTATTTAACTCACAGCAGCAGTTTTATTGTCTTTGAAACTTTCAGACCTAAGAGGGGAGGTATTTAAAAGAGATCCCTGTTGCTCTGCTGTCAAAACAGGCTGCTGTTCTTGGCTCTCGTGGACTTGCACATTATTATTTCTCCAAGTCTGCCTCGTGCATCACAATGTTAGCACACAGTTAGTGGAGCAGACCTTATTTGCATGTGGCTGGCATTTGTTGCTTTGGTAATTTCATCTCTTAATGGACACGTCCGCTAAGCTGCTCTGAAAGCATAGTCCTAAATTTTATGTTGCTAGGCAACGTGGTTTTGGTGGTTATCGTGATTTGCTTCTAGTTAAAGCGTCTGTCCATTGTTTGAAACTACTCCTGATTTAGACCTTTTTAAAATGTATTTTGTGAAATAGCTGCAGAGTGCATAGGTTTAAAATATTAACTATTCCTATCATTTAAGTTGTAATTTATGTGCATTTTGTTCAATTTAAATGTGCTTTTGATCATTTCTTTGCACAGACAGGAGCACGTTTTTATTGGTTTTTAATCTGATAATCAGGTAAACCACAGTATTGTATCCACTAGAAAATATTCCCCTTTGAGTTAATAGCCCACGTGTAAACACAGATGGCATGCCCCCACCCAGCTCAGTGAGTGATGCTCGCTATAATACCCTTGAGTAGGAATAACAGGACTCCCCTCCCCCCATATCTAGCATAATATCGCCCCTTGGGGTGGGGATGCATGATACTGAGACAAAAGTGACATTGCAAATATTTTCTTCCTGTGCTAAATATATCATGTACCATTATTAATCTCAAAAGTATGATTTCTGCAGGAAAAGCAATAGCAAAGTCATTGAAAATAAATTTCACTCTGATTCATTAGATTTGAGGTTATTTTGAGACCCATCACAGAATTATTTCCTTTTTTAGTGTCTTGTCCAGCTGAAGAGGGGGGAGCGCTGCAGAAGCACACCCAAAGGAGATGGGAGAGTGAGGCAGCTGCTTCATTTCTCAAGTGGTCTAAACTTCCAGCGCAAGTGTAAAATAAGCTCCCAGTTAAGCTGGAGGCCCTTCTGCCACTTACACATTATGCCACTCCCCCCTTTTTTGTTGTTGTTTTACAACATCAACAATTTGTCCTTTTTTATTGATTGAATTAAACGCCAATGGATATGTTTTCATAGGGATGAAGGAAAAGAGACGGTTGTGGTCCTGCACATAAGGGAGAGGGAAATAACTTTAACGTCTCCATGGAGACAAGGTTAGCTGTCAGATCTTGCATCTTCAGTCCACCGAGGGTCACGCACTGACCCTAATCTGGATTGACAGTGAAAGGTTGTTATTCTTATGTTTTAGGACTCCACTACTGAGACATTTAGTTCTTTAGTACCCTTGAGCAAAAAACGTTTTTATTATAACCAGAAAAAGACTGAAACAAAGCATTCATTCAGCCGCTTCAGTGTTATTTACATTAACACAATTAAATAAATCTCTTTGAGGTTGTGCATTCCTTTTATTTAACCATTTGAAACATCACCTCTCTATCAGTGTTACAAAAATCCCGTTAAATTGGTTTTTGAATGAATGAAGTAATCATTTTATGAAAGTTTGTTCAAAGTAAGGTTAGGGTTCTTTTTTGTTCCCTGTGATCAGAACTCCACTTTTTTCCCATTATAGTAAAAAAAAAAAAATGAGATGATGGAAAAAAGATGTTTCTACAGAATCAACAATCTTGGCTCAGCACATTCATTCGTGGCTGTGGTTGTGGTTGAAATTGCTCGTCTGCAGGAAACAGAAATAATAATGAGGCAAATGAGTGATTTGTGATTAAGTCATAAGCAACAATTAGTCAGGAGAGTGGACTTATATTTTTATATCCCATGTACAAGAGTAAAATTCTAGGTGAATAAATGAATAATCAGAGATCATGTTTGTTTTTATTTAAAATTAGGGACACACTTTATTCGTATTTTGCCAAAAAAGGATTTCATCGTCTCTTTCAATCTAATTTTCGAATTATGTTTCTAAAATTATTGTAATTATTTTAGCTGTTTGTATCTATTTCAATGTTCAAAGTGTACAATTAAAAATGTGTCTATTTTTCCAAAATGTTCTTAAAGTCTGATTAATTTTAGGGTTTGATAAATATTTTTTAATAATAATCAATATATTTTTTTAACAAATTAGAACTGATAAGAGAAAAATCGGTCCAAAGTCCAGATGTGATAACTGTTAGACTGACTCTTTCTGTAGAGCAAGTGTGTGTGTGGAGCCTGTGTAACTAACCTGCTGTTTCTCTCCTTTATTACATAAACAACATAAAATCTGAAAAACCCCTGAGAGCGATGACACCCGCCGGGTGTCTGCTCGGTTGCAGATGCATTAGCATAAGGTTTACATCCTGCAAGTGCTTTTGATTTGATTTGTTTTGCTTTATTGTTCTTTAGGAAAAACGGAAAGTTACCTGAAGCAGACGAATGATGCATGAAAACAAACTTAGCAGCTTACAGAAAATATGTTTTTTCATCATTGTTGTTTCCTCCTCCTGCCAATTTCCGTCCTTGTTCTCCCTCTTTTTTTCATCCTCAGTGATCAGAAGAGTCACTCTGAATTATTCATTTTGAGAAAATGAAATCTTCATGGGTGCAAAACCTGAGTAGAAGAAGAAATGATCTTTTATATGGTGCCCGTCAAGATTAAAAAATTGAGGCGCTTCACAAGAACAAAAGAAATTAAAATAAAGAATGATTGAACAACAATATTGTAATTAAAAATGGGGAAAAGGAAAAATTACGATTAAAAATGGGAAGAAAAAGATATTATGGGATCCACAGAAAGACAGAATTGGTGAAAGTAAAAAGGATCTTTGCATCTGTGTGTGTGTGTGTGTGTGTGTGTGTGTGTGTGTGTGTGTGCGCGCAACCAACTTTCCCAAGATTGGACACTTTGCTCAGACGTGCATTAACAAAGGCAAACTGGAGATATGTTTAGAGGTTCAGATGAATCTCATTTGCACCAAACGATAACATTAAATATTTCTCAACAGACATGCTGGATAGTGTGTGTGTGTGTGTGTGTGTGTGTGTGTGTGTGTGTGTGTTCATGCATGGGTGCCTGCGTGTATGTGTGTGTGTATTATTCTTCATTAGTGCGCAGCATGCATAGTTTGCATGATAGTTTGCAATACATACACACACACACACAAGTGTAATACATACTCATCAACAACATACTTGTCGTGTTAAAGACAAATAGAGTACTGCAAAAAATGGTGTTGGAAAAATTGTACAAATTAGAGGAGAACATTAATTTTAGGGCTTTTGTCCTTTCCTTGTACATAAAACACACCTGTTGGTCACCTGTAGCTGTGAAATTGCTCCTTTTACTGTTTCTCTCAAATGGATGCAGT